AATAACTTACAATGTTGCTTTCAAATGAGCCCAATCTCTAACTAAATAAAAACTAATTTTAGCTGAAAACATTTTTGCCGGAAAGGGTGCTAAACTACGGTTCACCGTTCAGTTCGGCACATTTTATTTTGTTCTGAAGCAAACAGCTGATGATATTGTTGCCTACATACGATTTTGAGGGCAAATAATACACGCAATTCGTTGCAAACGCATACAAAGGAGATCGCGGCAACCCGAATCTTCAAGTCGTTCGGACAGAAAATCAAAATCAATTTGATTCGAACAAAGAGTGTTCAGCATAATTTTGTCGCGCTCTCAGTGAGACAGAGTGGGAAAGGAACACGTAGAACTACTAGCAAAAAGTGCCCGGACACGAACGGTGAAACCGCCTTTACGTTACAAATGGTTTTGCACCGAAAACTCATGGATAATGAAGAGTATAGGAAACTACTGTATTGTGAAAAAGGCGGAAAATGCCCGAAGAAAACCAGATTTTTCCATTTTTAGCGTGGTGGATTCCGCGACAAAAAATCTTTTTGATATTTTGGACATTACCTTAAAAAATGATGCCAACTTTGTTTTCCTTAAGAAAGTTAATCACTGATTATTTTGTCGAATACTTTTTATGCAATCGAAGAGAAACAAGTATAATGCAAAAAATGGTGGCCCTTAAATATAAACAACCCCTAATTTCAGGTTGCGCTTTTTTAATTTTCATTAATTTAAAGGTAAAGTACTAGTGAAGTTTCATGTTTTAGAGAAGGAGATTCGTCTAATACCTCACATGTATCACATATGTATCAAAAATCTGCGAAACCTGAGAAAAAAATGGTTCCCCTCGGTTTCGTTTTCGGCGATTTGGGCCATATGCTTTTAATTTTATACACTATATATATAGGGGCCCGTGATTTTTTAGTCCCGGGCCAGAGTTTTCTATCGACGGCGCTGCCTGCACCTCTCTGAAGTTGGCAGGACAACTTTTTCCCAAAGCAAAAATTCCTATCAGATAATTTGCCGTTAATCATCCGTAAATTATCCGTGAAAAGAATAATTTTGCCGCGGACATGTTAAAAAAAATATCGCGTACCATGCTAACTTCCACGGCACCTTCTGAAAACCAATTAAGCAAACCAGCTAAACCCAAACTAACTATTTGATAATTTGCCGTATATTATCCGTTGTTTACTCGTGGGACTAAAAATTTTGTCTGACATATTTAAAAAAATTATCGCGTGTTCTGCGAACTTCCGTGGAAGAGACCTACTCAAATGTGTGTTTCATGGTCGAAGAGCTCTCCGAAAAATAACCTGACACAGATTTCAGAAGATTTACAAGGTGCCCAGTTATGACATTTCACATTTCATTTGGTAATTCATTGTGTTTCTTGAAGAAAGTTGTATAAAAGTGGGAAACATTCAGTGCTTTTCTTTTCCACACAGGTAATCCTGAGATTTAATTTTCTCTCAAAGGATAATAATTTGTTGTGTTGTTGATCTAACCTGCAAAAATGCAGTAATCTCGGTGATCTTTTTAAAAATGTGGGTAAAAGCTTAAACAGACGACAGCGTTGATCCGGATTAACTCGGACTTAATCCGGATCAACTACAGCTAATTCCCGAGTTGATCCGGATCAACGCTGCCGTCTGTTTGTGCTTTAAGATAAGCTAATTTTATAAGCCGGATATTCGAATAATGATAATATTTTGGCGCTTACACTTTTACTATGTGTTTGGCCGAGCTTCTCTTCCAATTTGTGGTGTGCTTCGCAATGTTGTTACACAAATGGAGGGACCTAAAATTTTACGCTGCCTCCGAACGGCAAATGGATTTTATACGAAGCGTTTTAATGAGGGCTTCGGAGCGAAGGCTTTTTTTCTTCGCTCCGCTCCGGTATTTTATTTCGCTCCGAGCTCCGCTCTTGCTCCACTCCCGCTCCCAATAAAATTTGTATTTATTTATTTATTTAACTATCGAGCCCTAACCGCCAAAAAAATGTAGGCGAATTTGTTTGGAAATTTTCTTTTTGATGCAGAAATGCATCTAGATGCTCTAGGAACACTTCTGCATCCAAAAGAAAAGTTAAAAAATTGGCAAGTTAATTAAATAGGGAAATTTATTCAACACGATTGATTTCAGTGACAAAATAATTATAATTTAAGTAAATTTATTAACTGAATTTTTTTTTTATTTTTATTGAGCTTGAGGACGTTATTAATGAAAATTTTTGTGGAGAAACAACAATAAAAATATTTAAAAATAAATCGTTAGATACTAGGCCAGAAAATAACAACAAAATATTGAAGATTTTTCTTCAAGTAGCTAAGGAGCAAATGAATTTTTAGCTCTTTGCTCCAGCCCCGCTCCAGCTAAAATCCTTTGCTCCTTAGCTCCTTGTTCCGCTCCGCTCCTAAGCCCTGGTTTTAATCACAGAAATACCTACACTCGAAGGTTTGCCATTGCCGCTTCATTTAAATAGATGCTCAAAAGTCTGTAACCGGGTTTTTTCCCCTAAAAATTATGTGGACACACCCAAAAGGGAAATATAATATAATTTTTATAAAATTATTCCATTATTTTGTTTAGTAACACTGTTTAAGAAAATAGTTTTTATTTATTTTTTTGTTAAGTTGAAAAGTATGTATTTAGGGAAAACGAATAAATACAAATCATCCATTTAGTCACTTACTTCGTCTTCTTAAGTGGCGGTTAATAAAATCAACATTATTACCTTTTCGAAAGCGAAATAAATCCGTTGACATTATTGCTCTTTCAAACATTAAATTTGCGTAGCTTCGCGTCTGTCCCCGTCGCGCGCCACTTTGCGTCGCGACCCAGTGCGGCATTTTGCACAATTTTTTTATAACATTCTTCACAGTGTAAAAGTATAAAGGCGGCCATGTTTTTTTATTACCTTTGAATTTAATAGTGTTCGCCTTATTTTTGGAAACGAAACATGTTTTGCAAGTTCTGGATCCTTTCTACATTCTGCATCAAATATTTCCCGTATTCCAGCTCTTTCTGAGTTTGGTTTTTCGCATCGTGTTTTTATTGTACTAGTAATTTTAAGTTTTTTAATAAAATCAATTGGTGGTGGTTCATGATTGTCTTGATTAATAGCACTGAGTATTTGGCAATAACCTCTTTCATCCATGGAAACACTTACGGGACAATGTTTATTGGAACATTCATATCTCACGTTCGATGCAAGAACAACTTTTTTTCTTTGAGTCGACTCACTTTAAGCTTTGTTGATGCTTACTTTCTTACTTTCTTTCCAAATTTTTGTTGACATTATTTCTCCTTTGAAAAGGTAATAACGTCAATTGATTTTATTTCGCACCTTAAAAAAGTATCGAAGCTCGGGTATCAGGCCATCCTTCCATTTCATTTCATTTTCATTTATTAAAAAAAGTAATTAGTACAATAAGATATAAAATATTTTATAGCACAACATACAAATATTAAGAGACTAAATTTAAATTTCGTCATGTATTTCAGTGCGCTGAACACGAATCTGATGTCCGTTTTGCTTCACCGCGGCAGGATTTTTTCCTAACCTCAAAAAACGTGCCTGTCACATAATGTCCGCCATTTCCACTCTTGACGTGGAAAATCCAAACGCACTTCAAATTCGTTTTTAGGGCGCCAAAACACGTTGGGGTAATCCTGTAAAATGCACATGACAATTTTTGTTATTTGTGGGGCTGTGGAATTATAATGATGGTAACGGGCCATAAAGATTACATACTTAAAATAAAGACAATGAGAAAACGGTACAATGCATGATGAGCATTTAATTCGTCTTCAGAAGCATCAGTTTGTTTATGTCCAAATTTCTCTTCTAAAAGCATGTCTCTTAAACTTGTAATAATAGGATCGGAGGAAACAAGTAGGCGCTGCAATACAACTTCAAGTTTAGCTCGTCTTGAAGTTTTACGGCTAAATTGTCCAATCGGTAGAAGGAAATTGAAACAATTTCGGCACCATACATTAAAGTTGTCATTGGAAGCCAGGGATAAAAGCTGGCACAGAATTCCGCAGTATCAAGACATAGCGTCTTGCATTTTATTTTATGTGTATCGGCCGCTGTGGTGTACTGGTAAGCAGTGCGCGCTTCCACTCCGAATCACCTCGGTTCAAGCCCTGGGCAAAGCAACATCGCAAAACAAATTTTGAAAAAAGGGTTTTTCTCAATAGCGGTCGCCCCTCGGCAGGCAATGGCAAACCTCCGAGTGTATTTCTTCAATGAAAAACAGCTTCTCATAAAAATACAATCGCCGTTCGGAGTCGGCGTAAAACTGTAGGTCCCTCCGCTTTGTGTGACAACATCAAGGCGCACGCCACAAATCGGAGGAGAGGCTCGGCCAAACACTAACATATGTGTAAGCGCCAGTCTATTATTATTATTATTATATATATCCACTGGATATGGTTTGCAAGTTTTTTCTAACCAGACTTTCGGACGCATATAATCTGTTTTTGTGTCTACCGCATCCATTCCATTTTAAAGGAACGTAACTTTTGAAGTTGCCCAAAGTTGGTTGCAGCTTTGGTTTGAAATATATCCTTCCATCTCGTTGATCTTAATAATAACACTGTACAGCACTCGGTTGGGTATTGGACCAAACCAACTTTTTTTAAGAGATTGAGTCATAAGTAAAAAAAGTAAGTTCTCCGTTTTTCGAAGTTAGCCTCCGAAATTGAGATATGGGCCTTCGAAGTTCGAAATTGGACCTTTGGTAAAAAAATTATTTTTAATTATTGCATGTAAAAAGCAAAAAATGCAAAAATACAGACGTGGTCCGCGTTTTCTCTTATTTATATGGTATAAAACTTTTTTTTTTTTTAAGTTATATTACAGGTGCTATAACGGATCAAATGTCAGATCTTCGGAAAAATAAAAACTTAATATTTCAGAAAACTTTGAACTGATTTTTAAAAGATTCGTATCGTTGTAAAGGTGATTTAACCCCCTTTCTTCGGATATGCATATTTGTTTACCTGGGGGTCAATTCTCGTTCTGTGAAACGGTGAAATGAAAACTTTTTTCACGTTTTCATTGCACTTCCGATTCGCTTTCAGTGAAAATATGAAAAGAAACGTCAAAGTGTTTTCACATGAAAAAAAGTGGAACGAAACGAAACTTTTCACTTTTTCACAACCCTGACGATTCTCGCTCTGTGAAACAGTGCAACCAACTGTTAAAAACTTATCATATGTAAAAAAATTATACACAGCCTATTTATACGTGAAAACAAGATGGAGAAGATACCAAGAGGAAAGCGCGCCAGCGAAAACCAAAAAGAGTTTTTAATAAATTATCTAGAAGACAATGTAGACATTGCAAACGATAAGTATGAAGCCTTTTTAACATAAACAAACGAATACCAATTATTTATAATTATAGATTTGTGACAGCAGATGGTGCCAAATTTCGCGAAGAAAAGTGGAAAGAACTAGCGGTGAGCCTTAATGCTCTTGGCGGCACTCAAAAGGATGGTGCAAAATGGAAGAAGTATTGGAGCGATTTAAAGTATGTATATAAATTTTTCATGATGTGATTATTTTTTTAATGTTTTGTTTTAATACCTACAAACAGACTTCATACTCGCACAAAATATAGTGCGATAAGGCAGGCAGAGCAGAGAAGTGGTATAACGGTTTGAGTCGGGCCAAAGCACTGTCACCACTGGAAGAGCGCATAATTAAGATTACAACTGTGCAGGCAGTCGATGGTGATGAAACGGGCGAAGTGGGCTTTGAAGCACTCGACATGGCAGAAGCTTCTCACAATCTCGCTGACATTGTGGAGGAGACATTCGAAGTTGTTGTGGCTGAATGCGAGTTAGATGGTACTGCAGCCGCAACCACATTGGAAGATGCAACTACGTGTCCAATGATGGGGGCGAGCACCTCAACTGCTGCAGCAATAAGAGGCAGCACAGCAGCAGCCCGTTCGAGAGGGCGAAAAAGAAAGGCGCAAGCAGAAAACCCTCAGTTAGAAAAATTGTTTAGGCTAGAGGAAATCAAGGTAAGGGAAATGGAGATCGCCAATAATTTAAAACGCGAACAGATCCAAGCGGTGACGGAGCAGACAGAGGCAATAATAGTGGGTACGCAAATGAAAGAATGTATTGTAGAAAAACTACAACATTTAATTGAAATTTTGAGGCGGCCGTGAGAATGTTTTAATTTTAGAAACAGCCTTGTCCATAAGTATTAGACAATTTTTATTATACCTTTTTCTAATGCTTAAGAAAACTTGAAGTCCCTTTTATTCTTAGTATTTTTAGAGTTTAAGAAAATATGAAGTCGGTTTTACTTTTAATATTTAGAATTTAAGAAAACATGAAGTCGTTTTTACTTTTAAACTTTTTTAGAGTTTAGGAAAATATGGAGTCGATTCTATTTTTATTTTTTCTAGAGTCTATGAAAATATGATTTTTTTTTAGCTTTTAAAAATATATGAATTTCTCTGTTTAAAGAATTTATGTACAAAACTGACTTGTGATAAAAACTGCATTTAAAAATACTTATCTTGGAAATATAGCAATCTATGTGTGTATTTTTATATTTCTTCTGNTTTTAATTTTAGAAACAGCCTTGTCCATAAGTATTAGACAATTTTTTATATTTATTATTATATTTAGAATTTAAAAAAACATGAAGTCGTTTTTACTTTTAAACTTTTTTAGAGTTTAGGAAAATATGGAGTCGATTCTATTTTTATTTTTTCTAGAGTCTATGAAAATATGGTTTTTTTTTAGCTTTTAAAAATATATGAATTTCTCTGTTTAATCAATTTATGTACAAAACTTACTTGTGATAAAAACTGCATTTAAAAATGCTTATCTTGGAAATATAGCAATCTATGTGTGTATTTTTATATTTCTTCTAATATGAGATATCGAATATGAAAGAATTCGATTTTTTATTTTTATTTTTTAGTCTTTAAGAAAATATGAGGTCCTCATTGCAATGAATTTATGAACAAAACTTTTTGTGATAAAAACTGCCTTTAAAAAGAATTTAACATTTGAAATATGATATACATATGCATATTTATTAATATATGTAAATAAGTAAAAATACGAATGTAAAATAAAAAGTTGAATTATTTTCAATCTAATTTTGAATGTTATTAGTAAAAGCATTTTGAACAATTTGCAATCGTTGTCTTTTCGCAATGGATAATATATTCTGTGTTGAAATAGCTGAAGAAGGGCCACCACATTCTTCAGGTGCATCAGAGTCTTCCAAATAAATTTCATCGAACGGCACTCTAGCCCGAATCAAGTAGTTGTGTAAAACCAGGCAAGCGTTGATTATGAGGCCTGCTTTTGGTGGACTGTAGAAAAGGGCTCTTTCCTTCGACAGACAGCGAAATCTGCTTTTTAGTAAGCCAATGCATCTTTCTACAAGAGCTCGAGTTGACTTGTGTGCTATATTGTAGCGCTCTTCTGCGGTACATGATGTCGCACTAATTGGTGTCATCAGCCAAGGCTAATTTAAAATTTATATTAGCATTAGATCTTTAACAAAGAAAAATAATATAAATTGTACCTGTAGTGGGTAGCCACTATCACCCAGAAGCCAAAAATCGCGCTCACCCGCCTCATAAAGCTCCTCGAGAGCTCTGCAAGCTGTATGTTATTAAGTGCAGTTGCCACCACTTGCACACATCTGCTAACTGATGTTTGGGATAAAGCAGATAAACTGTCTTGCCCCACACTTCTTTGAAAGCTACCAGTGGCAAAAAAACGCAGGGCGCTTAAAATAATTACATGACTCGGAACAGCATGTCTCCGTTGCGAGTTCGGCATAAATGGCATTAATTCATTAATTAATTCCAGGCCCAAAGCTTTAGGCAACCGATATAAATCAATGAAATGCTCGTCTATTGTAATCTCAAAGGGATTTTGGTCGTCGCGAAGTCTGCGCCGGAGCACTCTCAAATTATCTCTGAAATACATAATGCGTTAAATTGTATATACTGCATTTAAAAAATTTACACCTTTATTACCTTTGCTCGTCTCGAATTCTTTGCGATAATTCTAATAAAATAATTATTCCCGACATGTTTTGTTTACGTTTTCCTCAACTTTGACATTTACTTCGAAAATTCAATAGCACAGTTGCAAAAGTTTCACGACTATAGTGGTAATGGAACACGATTTTCACAGCACAAACCAGAATCGCAAAATAAGTGTCTGTGAAAAGGCAGAGTGAAAAGTAGTTGTGAAAACGAAAATGAAAACTTTTTTTTCACTTCATCTTATCACAGAACGAGAATTGACCCCCTGGTGAATAAAAATTTGAGAAAAACACTTAAAAGGAAAAAATAACTTTTTTTATCAAAAAATATTTTAAACAAAAAAATTACTCACCGATTTTTAAAAAATTGGCTAATATGCATATTTGTATACTTCGTGTATAAAAATTGGAGAAAAAAAACACTTAAAAGGAAAAATACCAATTTTTTCATATAGAAAAAAAATTACAGAAAAAATACTAATTAGTATTACAATTGAATATCGTATTTAGAGAAAACAAATAATTTATAGTGTTTTAAGCGTTCATTCGTTCTTGTTCACCCACAGCCCTGTTAAAAATAAAGCAAAAGTATATGTAACAGAAGTCAAGGCATATAAAAACATAAAAACACATAACAGATAACATGATTTTTTACATAACAGGTTATATATACAAATTAAAGGTAATTTTATGTTTTATTTAAATAAGGTATTCAACTGTATTTCTAATAAATAATTTTTTAGTTTGGAATATTTTTTATAAGAAAAAATTTGTATTTTTTCCTTTTAAGTGTTCTTTCTCAAATTTTTATATACGAAGTATACAAATATGCATATCAGAAGAAAGGGGGTTTAATCGCATTTACAACTGTACCAATTATTTAAAAATAGGTTGGTAATTTTTTTGTTTCAAATTTAAAAAAAAGGTATTTTTTCCTTTAATGTGTTTTTTCTCAAATTTGTACGTACAAAGTATACAAATATGCATATCATAA